GAAAGAAACGAATACAGAAGAAATCGAAATCAAGATTTTCGCAAATAGTCACACAAAGTATACAGACGGTGACTGATTGGGATAGTACAGAATTGGGAACAGCGGATTGGCAACCTACAAATAGTGTGAAGGATGATGATTCGGAAGAATACATTACTTCAGAAGAATACATGGATCTTGCAAATGAAAATGAAAAATTGAAAAAGGAGATTGCTCTTTTAAAGAATTCAGCTTTAATTCAAGATTTTCAAAGCCGACAAGAGATGGCCGAAAAATATATTATGATGATAAACGAGCTTGAAATTGATTGGAAACAACGTATAAATGATGTTGAGACCCAACACGAAGATGCACTCGAATGGACTGTGAAGCAAGTTGAAGAATTTTACAAGGGAAAGTTAAATCAATTGCATAAGAAGAAAAGAAGACGTAGCGAATGCACTGATGATAGAAATGAAGATGATGATGATGCTGATGATATTAATATAACTATTAAAGAATTAATTAAAGAAAATACACACTTGAGAGAGAAGAATGACACTTTAAAGAAAACATTAACTGAACTGAAAGTAACAAACGAAACTTTAATTGTAGAAAAAAACAAAACTTCTTTCGAGTTAGGACTCTCGAAGGAGGACTTAAAAATTGCAAAAAATCTTCTAGAAGCTGCTCAAGAAGATATTTGCTCTACTCAAGATGGTAAAGTTTATATAAAGGAAGTGACATCACAATTGCTTATTAAAGACGAACAAATCAAAAAGCTCAAAGAAATTCTCAATGAAGCGAAAGAAGAGTACATTGCAATTACGTATGATTTGAACAAGAAAGAACTTTGCATTGATGAACAAGCAAAAGTTATAATAGAAAATGAAGAAAAAATTGAAGATTTAGAATTACATCTTGAAGATGTTAATGTTTGCTTGACGGAGAAAACGAGAATAGTAGAACTTCTAGAAGAGAGACTTGAACATCAAAATGAAAATAAAATTTTACAATTACAAGAAGAAATCAATAAATTGAAAGATGAAAAATTAGCGTTAATTGAGTCTTATGAAGAAAAATTGAACTCCAAAACATCTATTAAAAATGAATATCAAGAGATTATTATAAAAGAACTAATTACTGATAATTTATCAGAAGATTCAAATATGAACGTAAAAGAAGATATGAAAACAAAAATAGAAAATGCAAAAGTATCTATTAATGAAATTAAAGAAACTAATTCAAATAATTTGAATTCCACAGAAAAGATACTTTCTAAACACATATTAGTGGATACATGTTGTCAAGTAAATATAACAAATGATGAGGATTATAATGACGTTAAAAACAAGTTGGAAGAAAGTACTCAGCCTGCTGTAACAATAACAACATCAAAAGATGTTCAAACTAGTAGTAAAATGGTTTTGTTAAAAGAAGAAGCTGTTCAGACTGATGAAATTCTGGATAACAGTCAAGTTAATAAATCAGAATTGAATGCATTGATGCAAATTAATGATGTTCACATACAATACGAACAGAAATGCTCGCAAGTTAAGGAGTTAACTAAAGAACTAGACGATATGAAAAGGACATTGCAGATTTTAAGAGAGGAAAATTGTTCAAATAAAACTATCATAGAGGAATATAAGAATTCTACGGAGGAACTTAAGAAACAATTAACACTCGCTGTGGAAGAGAAACAAAAGATAGAAGAGATTCTGCAAAACACCGACATGGCTTACAAACAAAAAATTGCAAGCTACGAATGTAAAATCGATCAATTAGAAAAGAATCTTTCAATTGCAAAAGATGATACTCAACAATATTTGGAGAAACTGAAAACTGCTGAGAAAGAATTAGATAACTATATGTTAAAGTGTAAAGAAGAAAAAGAGATAAATGTATGCAAATCAGACGAACTTGTTTCAGTAAAAGAAGAAGATAATAATACAAATAACATCAGTATAAATCAGTTAGATGAATATGTAGAAAAGATATCGCAATTGGAAAATAATCTGAAAACTATAGAGAAACTAAAATGTGATATCGATCAATTAAATAAAAATTTGGAAACGTGTCAAATAGAGAAGAACTATATACAAGAAACACTTGACGAGAATAATAAGAAATTGTTAAAACTTGAAAGTCAGTTGGAAGAAACGACTCTCAAGGAACAGGAAAAAGATACTGAGATCACAACTCTACAAAAGGAATTGAAATGTATGATTCAGAAAATTGAGAATACTGAGAGGACCGACAATGTGATGGAAGCAGAATTGAAATGTGCTATAAATGAATTGACGCAGACGAAAGAAACGCTTTTTGAGAAAGAGCAATATATAAAAGAGTTGAAAATACATTTGGAAAATTTCGAGAAAAATGCGAAGATATTTGATTTACTCGAACAGAATGCGAAAGATTGGCAGATTGAGAATGAACGATTACGAAATACAAACAATGACCTAAGAATTAGTTTAACACAGAAAGAACACGAGATGGACGCATTCATGAAGAATCGAGATGAAACAGTAACTAAGTACGAAACTCTTGTTAAAAATCATCAGGAATTATTCCGTCGGCAATTCACGCCAACACCGAATAAGGATGATTACAAAAAGTTGCAGAATCGTATAGAAGTGCTCCAAGATAGATTACAGAAATACGAAGTTAATACAAAGGTCAAAAACATTTACGATAGCACATCGGAGGAAGAAATTTCGGCTCGTCAGACCAAACGACGAGGAAAGAAGACTGCTTCATCTGTCAAACAAGAAAATATACCGGTTATCGAATTGTCTGGATCCGAATCGAAGCGCAGTACGAGAAATACTACTTTACCACCGCCGGCGGAAATGTCGACCGAGAAAAGACGTACTCGTAGAAAGAAACTGTTCCTTGAGAATGATTCATTTGCGGATGTTGAACCTACTGCAACGCTTTTACCAACTCGAAATTTACGGAATCGGAAGAAATGAGGAAAATATATAAGATATTGTAAATACTTTATATATCAAGGAAATCTAACAATCTCTTGCATACTGCTGTGATGATCGACGAGTGATATTTAATGAAAGCTCTGCTTTTTCGCATCTGATGATGTAAAACAGAACTTTCATTGAATGTTGCTCATCGCTTATCACGTCCAATGTTCAGTAAGCATAAAAGATCAGAGTACAAATGAAAAACATAGGAACATGTAAATCACGAAGCGAATACCGTTTTTCGTGTGATATTTATCAAAGTGTCTTACATACATATACTTAATTACATTTTATTTTAATAAAAAAAAATTAAAAATACTGTTTATTTTTAAAAATCGCATTTTTCTCTCTCTAAATATTACGCATTTTATATAAAAAATGTATTATATATTACTATTAATAATATTGAAGTGATTTACATATAAGACTTGTAATTTTTAGACTGTGTGAAAAAATAATTAATAGTATAAAAATAATAAATAGTATAATTATTCGTTTTATATCAATGCTGTATAATTTAAAAGTTGATTAAAATTCTTTTGTATACTTGCGGATTATCCTTGTATACTAATTGCTTGTATGTATATTTGCTATACTTTGTTATACATACAAAAAAACGACAGCCAATCAGAATTCGTGCTGGTAATCGCTGATTTTGTCTTTCTGTACAGCACAAGTTTTGATTGGCTGCTAACTTTTCTACTTTTTGCTTTTCTGTCGAGATCTGGGGATGGATTCTGTATCTTCAAATAAGGGGATCGATTCTGTATCTTGAAATGAGGTGAAAATTATAAAAGTGAGCGAATTTACTAGAATACTGATTATTTCATTGGTCAACCTCTAGTAAATTTGCTCGCTTTTGTAATTTTCACCTTATTTGAAGATATAGGTTGATTATGTATCTTTAAATAAGGTGAAAATTACAAAAGTGAGCAAATTCATTAAAGTATTCATAATTTAATTGGTTAATACCTAGTAATTTTTGCTCACTTTTGTAATTTTCACCTCCTTTCAAAATCCATAATCGATCCTAAGGTGAAAATTATAAAAGCGAGCAAATTTACTAGGTGTTGACCAATGAAATAATCAGTATTCTAATAAATTCGCTCACTTTTATAACTCACTTCATTTCGAGACAGAATCGATCCCCTGAACTCACTTTAAAACTTAACAAATCGGAACAGAAAGTTTTTGACTAGACTGTGATTAGCTAATTCTTAAGCTGGAAACACAATGAAAAACACAGGCAATAGGAAATAAATTTCAATCTATCAGAAACATGTATACTAGAACACTTTCTGATAGGTTGAAATCTCTTATTCCCTGTTCCTATTGCCTGTGCTTTTCATTATGTTTTCGGTTTTATGTTTACGGTACGTCTTGTGGCTAATATTGTATTATAGAAGGTATTTGCTCCAACTTTAAAGGATGCTATTTCATTTGTTCGTTTTTATCATACGACAAATGTGTACGAACAGAGAGGTCTTCGGATATCTTTATCCCATAGCCAATCAATAGGAAAAATTTGTCGTACGACAAAAACGCACAAATAAAATATCACCCTAGGTCGGATTTACACCTTAACGGAAAAGCGAAAGCCAATCAGAACTCGCGGAAAGATAGAAGCAGACAAGCCGAATGTACTGCCTACTACTACTGCGAGTTTCGATTGGCTTCCGCTTTCCGCTTTTCCGTTTAGGTGTGAACCCAGCCTAATACCCGTATTCATAGTCAGACTTTTGCCCGTATTCATAGACTTTGTATTTAAGGCTTCCTTAAATTTATCTTTAGATGCTCAGCAGCCAATGAAATAATTCATATAAGATCTGATTATGAATACGAGTATAGGCTGACGTCCCGTGAGTGGAAATTTATAGCGGAACGGAACAGCGAGACCAATCATAATCACAGAAAAAAAAGCAGAGTAACAACTGCAGAGTTGTGATTGGTTGCGCTGTTCCGCTCCATGGAACGGTCAGCATAAGGCCAGTATAAATGCTCCTTAAATCTGATTGCCCATGCACTAGTACGCCCTCATGATTGCAAACGCGAAAGCAACGGGTCGATTTTCCGTACATCAACCGAGATTACTCGAATACTAGCAGATATTAGTGATATTGGATACTGTCAGCATTCTCAGCTGACGCACTAAAGAGTAATAATATATTATCGAAAATGGTAAAAGAATGTACATCTTTAATTATATCGACGTGTGCTACGACAAACGTATCTATGGTATTGTGTGTGCATGTTTTGTGTTTTTCTTTTAGTCATTTGGCGAAAAAATAGCATCGATCATGCAGAGGCCTGGACAAGACCCTGTTGCCAAGGACGATGTGCCTTGGTGGATGAAATACGCCGGTCGCGGACTTGGTACCGTAGGCAGCATAAGTAAGCGATACTGTACAGTTTGCAGTTTTTCTTCCTTTTGTACATACATCGTGCGTTATTTCGATCTCTCTTTCTCTCTCTCTCTCTCTCTCTCTCTCTCTCTCTCTCTTTCTCTCTCGCGCGCGCGCTCGTACATGTGTACCTGCACTCATGTTAAAAACCATTACTTATTTAATCATCCAATTCACAACCATAAAATCATCTTTTTATCTTTTTATCTGACAGCCGGTCAATAGCGTTTGCTTCTTTTTACCCTTTCGTATAGATTTACAATTATTGCTGCACTAGAATTTCTTTTCTCATTTCTGTCAAATTTCAAACATATATTTATTTCACATTTTAAATATATAGAGAATATACTAGTTCAATTATTTACAAAATATATGTGTATGTTGATTTATACATATACAATTTTATGTGCAATCCGAATAATTGGATCAGTCAAGGATAGATTTTGAAAGTATGTGCTACAAGTTCTATTTATCAATAGAATGTCATCAAAAATATAATAGAATATAATAATAGATTGATTTCAGAAACTGAACTGATAATTTAACATTTTGTAACTTTTTAAATAATTTATTTCCTTTACTTGTTAAAAAAATATTCTGTTTGATTTCTGCCAATCTATTATTAGGTTATAGGCTCTGCCAGTGAAACATATGTTTAATACAGAACAAATAGATTTGTTGTATATTAACATTCTGTTGATCTATTGTCATATTATAGGTATTTTTCTTATAGTGATTCTATAATGAGTAATCAGTAGTCTTAGAAGTTAGCTGCTAGCTGACTATGGATAGTATTCATGGTCGGTTCTTATTTTAAGACTGTTTTAAATAATGTCTTAAGATGCTAATGCAGCTCTCTAATTGGTTCATGACATTTTAAGACTGTACTTAAGTCCTAAATATAAGATCCAACTATGAATACTGGTCTATGACTCACCAACTATCCTTCAGACTTGCTTCTGATTCACTGACTATAGACTACGATTTATTATAGAATTAGCACTGGAAATTATAAGGATCTCAGTCCTTAAGACAGTCGTAATTGAGTTATGAGTCGTAGTCATAGGTCAATCCATAATGTTTTGATCAACTTGTAACTACAATTTATATTCCATACTTAGTTACAGTATTTACTTAAATAAATTTACTAATACTACTGGGAACTATAAGATACCAATATTTCATATATTGTAAGATAAGACTTTTTAAGTCTCTTGATTGGCTACAGGATAAACAAATTCTTTTAACATGCTTAACAAGTTTGTGAAATATTAGGCTAAGGGCCTAAGCACAAAGATGACTGTAACTGATAATGAATTGTAGAACGTAAGTCAGTTGTAGATTGACCAAATATGTACCATAATATTGTGCGTTAATATCCTAATATTAGATCGGTTATATTCAATTTGGGCAGTACTGTTACAGTATAAGCACTATTCTGTCCTTATCATGCATTTACATGAAAAAAGGAAAATAGAAGCTTACAGCATAAGTGCCCAAATTAAAAAGGCAACAAAAGTTAACTATGATTTCAAGCTATAAGTTTTCTCAATTTAAAATGTAATTTATGCAAAGATTGCCTTGTTTATTTTTTTGCAGTTGCAATTTTTCTCGGAGCATGGAATTGTGCGTCGATACTTTTTGGCCAGATTGATTGCTTAATTAGCGGTATGTGGCAAATGATAGCAGGTTTTCTGGTTGTTATGATCGAAGCGCCTTGCTGCTGTTTGTTTATCGATTTTGTACAAAATTTAAGCGATTGGGTGGAGAAGAAACCCTATTGGAATAGAGCAGCTGTTTATTGTTTGTAAGTTTAATTTTATATCTTTTATAGTTTATAATATATCTAGTAAATGTAAAACTCATATACTTTTCTGTGTACAGTCATGGACAGAACGGTTGTAATACTTTTTTTCTATGGGTTTCTGCCTTGCTTATAGAATAAGTAAGAAGCAATCAGTCAGTGTGCAAGCTACATTTTGAAACTCATCGAATAAAAAGTATTGCAACTAGTCTGTCCATGACTGTACAGTCCTTGGCCATATTATTAGATGCATCATAATTGTTACAATTTATTGACTTGCCATGATTCATATTTTATTGATTAATATTGAGATTTATGATTATGATCCATCTATCATTGTTGTAATTGAAATATATAAAGAAAATGGTTATGTATAATATAATGGATGCATTTAATTTAATCCATTTGTCGCTTAAATATCCACAATTAAAAGATGAACTTGTTAATAATTGTGTAGAAGTGACTATAAAGGCAACGCATGTGTTTTCTGTTTTTATTATAAACATTTCGTTAATTTTTATTTATTTATGTTGGCGAACTTTAATTTAAACATTACATATAATATTATTAGACTTATGTGCAAGAAACTATCAAAAAATATATGTGCTAATAATGCAACCAAGGACTGTATTACGATACATTAAATTATGTCATATCTATTGATTTAGAATAGCATTGCCAGCAGTCTTCCTATGTCCAGGAATGAGTAGTATATTTGGCAGTGGTTTAATATTTACAACGGGTATAATTTATGGCTTGATGTCTTTGGGCAAAAAGTAAGTACAATTTGTTCGAATTTACAAGAGATCATCTATAAAGTAATCAAATTACTTTATTGACAAAAAAAAAAGAAAATGTTTAAGTCAATTAGAAGTGCAGAAATTTAAAAATATGATTGATATAATTTATATTTAATCATTAATGTAATAACCTTTTGTCAACAAAATCAATTTTATTTGATTGTAGAAAACTGTCAAATTAAATTGATGCAAGAATATATCAAAAGCATTGCAATCAGTATTGTTACTTTACATAAAACTGATTGTACTTTTTCCTATTTTCTAATTACTTTGGTAATTGGTCTAACTTTTAATAATTCCTCGTTTTTATGAACATCAGTGTAATAATTAAACTGATGCATATAAAAAACAATATGTACTTTTCATTAAATTTTAATGGAAAGTGCATATTGTAAGATTACGTGATCCAATAGTAATTTTAGATAAACTTTTTAGATAAAGTTATTAATATGTTCAAATTACAAGAAAGATTTATATTATTTCATTATTATTGAAATTATAATTTTAAAATATGTGTTATGAACTAATTATCTATTTATCATTTATTTCTCTTTTCGATCACTTGTCATGTAATCTTACATTCAGATGTAACATCGCTTTTAATATAAAACTATACAACGCTTTTTTCCCTGCCTTTTGATGTGTACGTTTTTTGCTTTGAGGTGGAAGAGCAATTTTTATATTGTGTTTGTGTTTTTGATGTTAGCTTGCTTTGGTTTGTAAAGAAATATTTTTACAAGATAATTTTACGAAAAATTTTATTTATACAAGAAAAAAGGTTAGAATTGCCAGAAATATTTAAAAATATTTAGAACTTTATGTCAGATGAAAAAAAGGAACGACTTGAAAAAATTAATGGTTTATTTCTAATTGTATGTAACGGTCATCACAATATAACTCTTCATAGAATTAATGTAAAACATGCGTGATGTAAAGTAATTTTATCTTGTTCTCGATATGATCTCTTTACAAAATGTTTACTAATTTGTAACATAATAACAGAGGATCCAGGCCCGACCCAGCAGGAAGGACGTCGGGCGTGGGTTCCCCACAAGGTACAGTGCCTCCTACTGCAGATCACCATACTACTCTCATGGAAGATCCTGATGTCTGGAGGCCTACGTAAATCATCAAACATTCATTGCATCACTTCACTAACCAGGCAATAATATACAAGATTTAATGTTACTATAAAATCTAAGTACAATGCTTTGCTACCATTCCCTTTTCGATACACACTTTTTATTCTTTATTGTATGGCCCACAACACTTAGCAACTCGATATTTTGGAAATTATTTTGTCAATTTTAAAGATTTAGTTCTTAAATTGGATTTGAAGGACTTTCAAATGAGTTGATTTCAATTGGAACTCCCATTTTTATTGCATATTATAGTTTACCTCGAAAACTTTTCAAAACACTATAACAAAATATTTTCATTGAATACTTTTCAAGTTATAAGGCTTGAAAGTTACAATACCGATGACATTTGCATTACAAGATGTCCGATTGACGCAAACCTTTTGAATGTTGTTCAGGATCATAACCTGGATAACATTTGTCAAGATCACATTTTACAGATCAAATCACATTGTTCTGTAAAATGTTTTATTTCTAAGATATATGTTTGTCACACTTTAATTAATTTACTCTGAATATCGCAAGTAAATTTGAGGGTAAATTCGAGCAGAAATTGGCTTCTTGTAGAAATCCATAGCCTATCACATATAAAATGATATAAGCTGCATAAGCATAGCACAAAATCGCTGAACTAATGAATATCAATATAAATCAATATGATGTCTTAATGTCGAAATCCCATTGGTCCAACGACTTTGTGTTTATACAGCTTATATTATTTTGTATGTGATGGCTGCTATACTGCTATGTTATGCTTTTGATAGCAAGTGTATACTAACATTATAAATTATGTATGTAAGACATTGTGAACTTAACGTGTGACATGATTGTGTCTTCTTGATAAGTTGTAGATGGGAAACAGTGTACACGTATGGCGCAATGAGTTAAAAATAATAAATGTAGATTTACATTTATTTATACTACGTACTTGAAAAAAAGTATTTCTGAAAAAATTAATATAATTGTTTACATTTTAGAGCGCCTTTTGGCGAAATGAGAACAACAGCAATGGATATTCAAGCTCCATCATCGAGCATGCGGTCCGTACTAGTTGAAAATACTCAGCCAATTGGTGTTAGCAATCCAACTAGTACTCCAGCTAGTATTGTTTGATTAGGAATTATAATTGGGTGAGCAATCTAACATTTTTGTTTTGTGCGAATTGTAAGCGATAATTAATCGTTTAAATGATTAATAGCTCGAATAAATGAATGAACTTCATTTTATCTCAGCTTTATCATTGATACAAATTGTGTAATTCAAATGTTCTAATAACTTCACAAGACATTTATTACTTTTAAGAATAATTGAATACAAATCGTATTAGATATGTAAATTCAAATGTGTTATGATCTGAGAAAGGAAAAATTTCTTAAACTTTAATATTACATGGAATTTTTTTATTTTAATCTGTTTTTATTTAATACTTGAGATACATTCGTAAGAGTTGTATGCGTTTGTTATATCCTATGTTTGTATGAAATGTGTATGTAAAATGGAGTGGGACATATTTTGAAGACATATAGAAAAGAATTTGTGTTATTCATTTTAATAATGCCAAAGTCAAAGACTGTCATAGAAAATGATGTTGTTCTATGGGTCTAGCTTTCGTAGGCCCATTTATCCATTATATGTCATGAAACGTTAACAAATGTAACAATAGAAAATTATAGATGATGTAACATGTTTTGAAGTATATAATATTAAAATTTTATTTTGCAAGCAATTAGTTAAGTAGGTTCAAAAAGAGAAACTAAATAATACTTCCGCGATAATTTCGCATTTGAATTATAAAACGCATTGTTTTCAGAATGTCATATTAGAAGCGAGAAAGTCATTAGTTTGATATACTTTTTATGTATAATATTATAGATAAGTTTCTCCTCTGCCAAATAAACTATACATGCATAAAATTTAATTATGTTTTAAAATAACACTATTTGTATACATATATTTATGTGACATTCTAATTTTTATTACAGCGCCGTAAAATTAATTATATAATAAATTGATAAAGCCATAAATATACGTACGCAGAGTGAGTTACTTCAATGTTTATTTTCACTAATTGTAATCTAAGAATCTGAAATATTCTATTTCATTTTTCTTTACTATCATTTTATTTTTTGATGTTAAAATATAATGTGTTAATAATGAAAAAAGCCACATGTATATATATATATATATATAT